TACAAAAAAAAAGATTGAGATGCAGTTGTACCCCACCTGTAGGGGGTAGGGGTTAATGTCAAAAATCAGGATGATGATGAGGTCTTTCAAAAGCATGGATCCAACAACAGAGGGTCTCAGGGTATCTACCTGTCTAAACCGAAACGAACCAGTAATTATCTGGTAAATGAGAAAAAGAAAATAACTATGGATCATTAAAAAAATAATAAATTCAAGAAAAATTTTACTCGACATATCTACAAAATTCATTTTTTTTTGTCGACATGTAATTAGGTACCTGAAGCTTACGTTGTATGTTGAAAAATTATCATTACCTATCTCTCAAAAATCTTCAATAAATAGAATGTTTGACCACTTTATTCATAGATTTTATGGAGAATATACTGAGATACATAATTGCTTTCAAGTGGATGTTGGGTTGTCTCAATTTTATTATATAAAAAAAGGCGAAATCACTTCTATGCTCACTAACGGTTAATTTAGAAGATTGTTAAAGGCATACGTCTGGAGCGCGACGCTGTACGGATGCGAAATATAGATGGTGGGCGCGGCGGAAAAGAAAAGAAATAAAGAGGATACAGTAGATAGAGAAGGTTAGAAATAAAGAGGTATTAGAAAGAATAGATGAACAAAGAACTCTATGGAAGTGAATAAGGAATAGGCGAAGTAGTCAGAGACATATTAGAGGTAGAAACAGGACTTAAAAGGAGTAGAGGTACACCTAGATTAGATTACCATTCTAAATTTAGGGAAATGCGACAATTAGCTCAGGACAGGAAAGAGTGGAGGTGCCTGTCAAACCAGTCTTAGGACTGACGACCTTATGATGATGAACTTAAAAAATATATATAATACACCACACGTATTTATCGATTGAAAAAAATTTTCAAAATGCGTTTTTGTATTTTAAAAACAATTCCGATGATTAAGAACAGAAAAAAATACAATGTGGTTTATACATTTTGGAATAATTGCCTGTAAGTTTTTAAGAACAACACTTACCTAGAGATCGCTGAATTAGTTGAGATGGACCTAACTTATGACTTGCTCGTTACCTAGAAGTAGGAAGTCATTAGTTTACTCTATTCCACTAGAAAACGGGAGAGATTTGAATTTGAACAATCGGATAATTGCATGGTGCAATTCAATAAGAAACGACCGTCCTATTTTACAAAGAAGTCTGTACGAAATGAGGAGATGATTGAAAGCATGTATTTTATAGTTGAAAGTAGTCGTTTGTAACAGCTAAGATTAAGATGGTTAAGTGTTACGTCGTTAAGCTGAAAAAATTTAATTCTACTTATTACTGGTACATTTATCTAAAATATACACATTTTTAAAGTACCGTTCGCTGTTACTGAAGATGACTTTATTTTACTGAAGGTACTCACCTACTTCTTCACAATACCTAATTACTTTAAGTAAAAGTAAAAACTGACGATCGGTCTGTCAATATTTAAAACTTCATTTGTTTATACATTACACTTTTACTTTCACTGAATGTTAATACGTTCCGTACCAAGTTTTATTACTTTCATTTTGTTATGAATCTGTCCATCGTATATCAAGTGGTGTATCTTAGCACCGTCATTGTATTTGCATTATTTATCTGTCTCTAATAAATTACTTCGACTTGTTTTAGTGTCTAGTTTAGTATAGTCCATTCACTTCCAAGATAGACAGATCAGAAACTGGTACAAGTGAAGAAAAAGTAGGGAAAGAGCAAATATAAAGATGGGAGACGAAAAATTAGAAAAAGTGACCGATTTAAGGTATCTAGGAAGTCAGTTAAGTCAGGACGGAAGGAGTAGTAGCAATATAAAGCAGAGGATAGCGCAGGGTCGAGTCGTCTATAATGAAAAGAAGTCACTTCTATGCTCGCGAACGGTTAATTTAGAAATTCGAAAAAGGTTGTTAAAGGTGTATGTTTGGAGCGAGCGCTACACGGGTGCGAAACATGGACAGTGGGCGCGGCGGAAAATAAAAGGTTAGAAGCGTTTGATATGTGGTGTTACACGCAAATGATGAGGATACCGTAGATAGAGAAGGTTAGAAACGAAGAGGTATTAGAAGAATAGGAGAAAAGAGGACTCTATGGAAGTCAATAAGAAATAAGCGAGATAGGTTAGTAGGACACCTTAGACATGAAAGTCTGGTTAAAGACATATTAGAGGCAGAAATGGAAGTTGGGAGAGGCAGGCCCAGGTTAGATTACTGTTACTGTTACTAAATAGTTAAGGATATGCGTTGTTCTAGTTTTAGGGAAATGTGAAGATTAGCTCAGGATAGAAAAGAGTGGAGATGCGTGTCCAACCAGTCTTAGGACTGACGACCTTATGATGATGATGATGCCAAATGGATATTTTTAAGTTTCTAAATTAATTCAATGACTTTTTTTTAAGGCATGCAGTTCGGCGATTTCACATTTTACTGGTTTTATGTTAAATACGAAGGGGTTGTTATAAACAAAACCATTGGCTGCTGGTTCGATTGAGGAATTTTCTTCATGAAATGTGATATATGATTATAACTTTTTTTCTGTTAAAACCAAATATTTGTTACTGACTTTTACTTGTCTATGTTCAAATAAATCATTAAATATGCTAAAAGGACAATTTTTACTCAGTTTCCTTAGAATTCACTAAATCATTTATAAAACTTTGATTATAATTTAAATAAGTGTCGCATACTTATTAAATTCTTCTACAAAATTTATAAAGATGGAAAATGGAAACTGAGAAGCAACAAAGGGATCTATGCAAAGACAGAACGAATAACAGACACAATGAGGAGAAGAAAAGTGACCTTCTATGGACACATTAAGAGAATGGATAAAGAAAAACTGACAAAGAGAATATTCAACTATTTCGACAGAAATACCAAGACACAGATGGCATGGATCAAGGAAGTCAGAAGAGACATGGAAGAAATGAAAATTGTTGGAGAGAATGTGGAAGAAAGACAAGAATTCAGAGAGAAAATTAGAAAATTCAACGATTTTCAAGAAAAGCCAAAAAAGAAGACTGGCGCTAAGTGGACAGAGGCAAAAAAGAAACAACATGCAGAAAGAATGAAAGATTACTGGAAGACAAGAAAGAAGGGAGAGGAACAATAATAAGTTATTTCACGTGGTCTATAGTCGGCCAAAATCGAAAGAAGAACAAGAAGAGATAAAACCATAATTTTGAGAAAATTTATCCCGATAGATACATGTATAATTAAGTACAACCCTGGAAAATTTTAGTAGTCGCAAACATAACCCGCCGCTGTCTATCCACTCATTCACGTTTCCTTTAGCTTTTGTCTGTCCTAAAAGATAACATAGTATAGGTACATACGTACCTATCTAATAATGCAAATGTTATGACTTCTTTCTCCCAATATTTTTCATGCTCGTGAGTTTCTCATCATTAGTGGGTACCAACGCCTTTCAGTTAAATTATGCAAAATTAGCGTGCAAACTAAAACGAAACAATAAAATTGGATAAGTAGCTCGCCTAGAGACTTTTATCTTTCAAAGTGCTGAATAATCACGTGCATTTTCATTCCGCAATGGAGCAACGAAAGTTGAATTTTACTTTCAGGGAAATGCACTGCTCTGTAGAATCGTTAATTAATTAATTGATCAGATTGTCCATATTCAATTAGCGTTTATATTTCATTTGTTGTTTTCCTTTTTTATTAAAACCTGTATGCTAAACAAATCTACAAAAAGTTTATCTAATCTTAAAAATGAAAAACTTTTGTTTCTGAAACTACAAGATAATTACGTATTTAAGTTAATTTTTTCTATTAAATCTTAATTATTTTGTTTTAGCTATAAGCAATGCATCATTTGTTATAAATATTGAGAAGGGATTTTTGTTAAACAACACTTAATTAATTGATTATTTCTAACTGCGAAAACTGAAGAAAATACTTCATAAAATCATTTTCTTAAGTTTCCACCATCAGTGAGACATCTTCTGGTTCAAGTGCCGAACTTATATTTGTTATTTTATGTACTGCGGCGACATCTTTTACACATCATTTAAATTATGTTTCCTGTACACAGTTTACAACACTCTTTCAACGAAGAAAATCGGAAAAAATTTCGGAAACTAAGAAATATAATTCAAAGGTACTGACGTATAAAAAATGACGTCAATACTTTGCCTTAAATGCACAAACATAAACCAAAAAAAAAAAACAAACAAGAGCACACACATGAAATGTAGCCTTTACAATGAGAAACATCAAATGAAAATGATGAGGCTGCGTAATCTATTCAAGTGGTTTTATCATCCCTCCATTTTTTCACCCTTAATACACTATTCTTTAAAAAGAAAATTCTATTTATCTATTAAATGTATAAATTGATATATTTCTTTAAAATCTGTAAACAGTAAGTCATCATCATCATCATCATCATCACCTTATGGTCTGCATTTTACTTTAAAGAATACATTTAATAACACAATTGTGTTGTTAAAAAAAAAAAATAAAAAAGCTACCTATCGTCTTGTTTTTGTAACAAAAAAGTTGAGAAACAATAACTTTGCCACTAAAATAGAATAACTGATGTTGAATTGAACAAAAACACAAAATACCAAGTGTAGTCACAAAATTTTTGACTAATTAGACGACCGCTCTGTACCGTGAAGTAATTGGCGCTTATTGAAACGAATGTTCGTGGCCTTAAAAATAGATTTTTGGAAGTTATTTTTTTCACATAGATCTTTATAATACAACACCTTCATAAAAACTGCTGTAGTTGTATGAGAACACTTGAAAAATTGTTTTAGGGCAACCAAGAAGTCTTTAAATTAAATAAATAAAAACGCTTATTATTGAAGTGTTAAATCAATCTCTTCGCTGTTCATTTTGCTGTAAATCCTGGACATATAGGCTATTTCGTTAGCTTTATAATCATTCATTTTTCTGTACGTTCAAGTCAATTCCAAGAATTTTTGAATACTTTGGGTATAGCAAACATAAACTTAACAATATATTATCGATTCAAATATAAGGTTCAAGGTTGAACCAGTGGAGAAGTTAATTTGTGATAATTAGTTAGTTTAATAAAAGACAGCGAATTATTACAACATTTAACGAAATAAGTTGGAAAATAAAATGCCACCAACCCTTTACTATTTTGAGGCAAGTCCTGCAGTTCGAAGTGTCCTTTTGACGTCCAAAGCCCTTGGAATGAATCTCATATTAGAACCAGTGAACATTCTGAAAAATGAACATCTCCGACCCGACTACTTAAAAGTAAGAAAATTATTTTTAACCTTCTTCATCCCTAAATAAACCATCATCATTTAGTTACATAACAAATAAGTTGATTATTACAAATAAAAATAATTTAAAAGGATTATCAATGATTGCTGAATGCCGCACATGTTTATTCATTTTTAACAGTTTTTTTAAATTTCAATTTCGATTTCTTAAATATATTTTTCAAGTCATATTTCCAATTATACTAATAACCACACCTCGATTTGAAAAATATTTACTGTGCGGAATCAATTTTCAATAACTTGATAAAGATAAGAGTATTTGTTTTTAAACTTGTACAGTTATGAATCCGTTGCAATAAACAACTATTATTAGGTTTGTCATTTATTAATGTTGCATTATAANCATAATCGAACAAAATAATTCGAAGTGGTCTGTATTCTGTCGAAACTGCCAGACGCGGATCGCGATTTCGATCTTTTTGGATCTCATCAGCGCGTCGCAAGCAGCTCCGACAGAACACAGACCAACCTTTGCCTGCTGTCTTAACTGTAGCCATTTGTAGTATTTTCGAAAACGCGCTGTTAAGACAGCAGGTAAAGGTTGGTCTGTGTTCTGTCGGAGCTGCTTGCGACGAGCTGATGAGATCCAAAAAGATCGAAATCGCGATCCGCGTCTGGCAGTTTCGACAGAATACAGACCACTTCAAATTATTTTGTTAAATCTATGTGTACTTCTTTCTCTTTAAACTCCTGTTTTTGCTTCCAATATGTCTCTAACTAGCCCTTCATGCCTGAGAGGGTGTCTCTTACCATTCTATCTCGCCTATTTCTTTCTAACTTGTATAACACCCTCTAATGGTAAATATAATTTCCTTATTTTCTGATTTATCTGCATACATGTACCAGGACATGAGAATCATTAACTCTTAGATATTATAAGTTTTGGGTCAGATATTTTTACGACCGTGTCTCCAATATATTCACCACTTATTATCACGATGATTAATTATCTATGTATATTCTAGTTTAGTCTACCTATTTGAATAGGTAGGTTACGATTACCTTGCACAATAATTTGCATAAGTATTGGTTAGTTAATTTCAAGAAGGTATTCTCTGAAGAAGTAACAGGGTTATAAACTGGGTCACGCAGCTCCAAACATTGACAGAATTTTTATGTAATAGACTCAACACATTCTAATTCAGAACAGTGACTTTCGACAAATGTAATATTTGTTGCTAACATTCGCTTTATAACCATAAGAAAGTTTGATGAAGCCTAAAGAGTATAACGGTACCGACTTAAAAGTTAATTAAACATTAGTTATTAAGGAAGGTCAAAAACGACTTCATGTGATGGACAAAAATTTAAATGGTAGAAATGGTTGTTGTTTAAAACCATGAGAAAACTATTGTCTTATTTTTGTATCTAAGAAAGTAACTTAGCGTACTGAAACAAATAATAGACAACAATTACGTATTCGTAAAATAATGCAAGAATAATGACCTCATGTGCCTAAATTATTTAATAAATTGAACTCCAAAGAAAAGTGTCTTATCATTTCCTTTTGACCATGGCTTTGCAGATGTATTGTGTAAAAGATTAGTCGCAAGTCTAATTTAATATTTATCTTATATTCGTTTCGACAAAACAACTCTTTTTACCCTGAAATAATATCTAGTGTTTCTAGGTTTTGTCCTTTACTGAATAACATTGATTCCTATGCTGATTAATCATATCTTGTGTAAATGTGAGTGTGTGAATGTAGATATTAATGATTTATGGACTATTTCAAATAATTTAAAGTCAAATTCTGATTAGACGCAACAAAAAGAAACTTTAATATTGTTTCAAACTACTGAAGTGACTTGATAAAAATTTGCAAAAAGGAATTATTGTTATTTTGTTAGACAAAAAATGACATGCTTCTAGAATTATTTATATCAGAGTCGGTGCGTGAAAATTAGACTTACGAATAAGTGAACCATGCAGTTGATATCCTTTACATTAAAATGTACCTACTAGAAAAGATTCAAGTTTTTACAAAAAACTTGGAATTACAGACTTGAAGGAATAATATCATTTTGAATGGTAAAGCTGGCACAACTGTTTCAGTACAACAATAATTTCTTTAGATGGTAATTGCAACATCTTGTAATCTGTAATTAAAATCGTCCGAATAAGGTCTGTTATACCGAAACAGCTGCCATATTTGTAAAATAAGCTCTGATAGGCACTTAAGGAAAATTCCATAGTTCTTTCTTCCACATTACATGCGTTTGCTTTCTGACTCCTTAATAAGAAATAAAAAAACAAAATTATACAAAAAAAAAGATTGAGATGCAGTTGTACCCCACCTGTAGGGGGTAGGGGTTAATGTCAAAAATCAGGATGATGATGAGGTCTTTCAAAAGCATGGATCCAACAACAGAGGGTCTCAGGGTATCTACCTGTCTAAACCGAAACGAACCAGTAATTATCTGGTAAATGAGAAAAAGAAAATAACTATGGATCATTAAAAAAATAATAAATTCAAGAAAAATTTTACTCGACATATCTACAAAATTCATTTTTTTTTGTCGACATGTAATTAGGTACCTGAAGCTTACGTTGTATGTTGAAAAATTATCATTACCTATCTCTCAAAAATCTTCAATAAATAGAATGTTTGACCACTTTATTCATAGATTTTATGGAGAATATACTGAGATACATAATTGCTTTCAAGTGGATGTTGGGTTGTCTCAATTTTATTATATAAAAAAAGGCGAAATCACTTCTATGCTCACTAACGGTTAATTTAGAAGATTGTTAAAGGCATACGTCTGGAGCGCGACGCTGTACGGATGCGAAATATAGATGGTGGGCGCGGCGGAAAAGAAAAGAAATAAAGAGGATACAGTAGATAGAGAAGGTTAGAAATAAAGAGGTATTAGAAAGAATAGATGAACAAAGAACTCTATGGAAGTGAATAAGGAATAGGCGAAGTAGTCAGAGACATATTAGAGGTAGAAACAGGACTTAAAAGGAGTAGAGGTACACCTAGATTAGATTACCATTCTAAATTTAGGGAAATGCGACAATTAGCTCAGGACAGGAAAGAGTGGAGGTGCCTGTCAAACCAGTCTTAGGACTGACGACCTTATGATGATGAACTTAAAAAATATATATAATACACCACACGTATTTATCGATTGAAAAAAATTTTCAAAATGCGTTTTTGTATTTTAAAAACAATTCCGATGATTAAGAACAGAAAAAAATACAATGTGGTTTATACATTTTGGAATAATTGCCTGTAAGTTTTTAAGAACAACACTTACCTAGAGATCGCTGAATTAGTTGAGATGGACCTAACTTATGACTTGCTCGTTACCTAGAAGTAGGAAGTCATTAGTTTACTCTATTCCACTAGAAAACGGGAGAGATTTGAATTTGAACAATCGGATAATTGCATGGTGCAATTCAATAAGAAACGACCGTCCTATTTTACAAAGAAGTCTGTACGAAATGAGGAGATGATTGAAAGCATGTATTTTATAGTTGAAAGTAGTCGTTTGTAACAGCTAAGATTAAGATGGTTAAGTGTTACGTCGTTAAGCTGAAAAAATTTAATTCTACTTATTACTGGTACATTTATCTAAAATATACACATTTTTAAAGTACCGTTCGCTGTTACTGAAGATGACTTTATTTTACTGAAGGTACTCACCTACTTCTTCACAATACCTAATTACTTTAAGTAAAAGTAAAAACTGACGATCGGTCTGTCAATATTTAAAACTTCATTTGTTTATACATTACACTTTTACTTTCACTGAATGTTAATACGTTCCGTACCAAGTTTTATTACTTTCATTTTGTTATGAATCTGTCCATCGTATATCAAGTGGTGTATCTTAGCACCGTCATTGTATTTGCATTATTTATCTGTCTCTAATAAATTACTTCGACTTGTTTTAGTGTCTAGTTTAGTATAGTCCATTCACTTCCAAGATAGACAGATCAGAAACTGGTACAAGTGAAGAAAAAGTAGGGAAAGAGCAAATATAAAGATGGGAGACGAAAAATTAGAAAAAGTGACCGATTTAAGGTATCTAGGAAGTCAGTTAAGTCAGGACGGAAGGAGTAGTAGCAATATAAAGCAGAGGATAGCGCAGGGTCGAGTCGTCTATAATGAAAAGAAGTCACTTCTATGCTCGCGAACGGTTAATTTAGAAATTCGAAAAAGGTTGTTAAAGGTGTATGTTTGGAGCGAGCGCTACACGGGTGCGAAACATGGACAGTGGGCGCGGCGGAAAATAAAAGGTTAGAAGCGTTTGATATGTGGTGTTACACGCAAATGATGAGGATACCGTAGATAGAGAAGGTTAGAAACGAAGAGGTATTAGAAGAATAGGAGAAAAGAGGACTCTATGGAAGTCAATAAGAAATAAGCGAGATAGGTTAGTAGGACACCTTAGACATGAAAGTCTGGTTAAAGACATATTAGAGGCAGAAATGGAAGTTGGGAGAGGCAGGCCCAGGTTAGATTACTGTTACTGTTACTAAATAGTTAAGGATATGCGTTGTTCTAGTTTTAGGGAAATGTGAAGATTAGCTCAGGATAGAAAAGAGTGGAGATGCGTGTCCAACCAGTCTTAGGACTGACGACCTTATGATGATGATGATGCCAAATGGATATTTTTAAGTTTCTAAATTAATTCAATGACTTTTTTTTAAGGCATGCAGTTCGGCGATTTCACATTTTACTGGTTTTATGTTAAATACGAAGGGGTTGTTATAAACAAAACCATTGGCTGCTGGTTCGATTGAGGAATTTTCTTCATGAAATGTGATATATGATTATAACTTTTTTTCTGTTAAAACCAAATATTTGTTACTGACTTTTACTTGTCTATGTTCAAATAAATCATTAAATATGCTAAAAGGACAATTTTTACTCAGTTTCCTTAGAATTCACTAAATCATTTATAAAACTTTGATTATAATTTAAATAAGTGTCGCATACTTATTAAATTCTTCTACAAAATTTATAAAGATGGAAAATGGAAACTGAGAAGCAACAAAGGGATCTATGCAAAGACAGAACGAATAACAGACACAATGAGGAGAAGAAAAGTGACCTTCTATGGACACATTAAGAGAATGGATAAAGAAAAACTGACAAAGAGAATATTCAACTATTTCGACAGAAATACCAAGACACAGATGGCATGGATCAAGGAAGTCAGAAGAGACATGGAAGAAATGAAAATTGTTGGAGAGAATGTGGAAGAAAGACAAGAATTCAGAGAGAAAATTAGAAAATTCAACGATTTTCAAGAAAAGCCAAAAAAGAAGACTGGCGCTAAGTGGACAGAGGCAAAAAAGAAACAACATGCAGAAAGAATGAAAGATTACTGGAAGACAAGAAAGAAGGGAGAGGAACAATAATAAGTTATTTCACGTGGTCTATAGTCGGCCAAAATCGAAAGAAGAACAAGAAGAGATAAAACCATAATTTTGAGAAAATTTATCCCGATAGATACATGTATAATTAAGTACAACCCTGGAAAATTTTAGTAGTCGCAAACATAACCCGCCGCTGTCTATCCACTCATTCACGTTTCCTTTAGCTTTTGTCTGTCCTAAAAGATAACATAGTATAGGTACATACGTACCTATCTAATAATGCAAATGTTATGACTTCTTTCTCCCAATATTTTTCATGCTCGTGAGTTTCTCATCATTAGTGGGTACCAACGCCTTTCAGTTAAATTATGCAAAATTAGCGTGCAAACTAAAACGAAACAATAAAATTGGATAAGTAGCTCGCCTAGAGACTTTTATCTTTCAAAGTGCTGAATAATCACGTGCATTTTCATTCCGCAATGGAGCAACGAAAGTTGAATTTTACTTTCAGGGAAATGCACTGCTCTGTAGAATCGTTAATTAATTAATTGATCAGATTGTCCATATTCAATTAGCGTTTATATTTCATTTGTTGTTTTCCTTTTTTATTAAAACCTGTATGCTAAACAAATCTACAAAAAGTTTATCTAATCTTAAAAATGAAAAACTTTTGTTTCTGAAACTACAAGATAATTACGTATTTAAGTTAATTTTTTCTATTAAATCTTAATTATTTTGTTTTAGCTATAAGCAATGCATCATTTGTTATAAATATTGAGAAGGGATTTTTGTTAAACAACACTTA